CCTTTAGTCTTTCGACTTGTCGAACCCTGTCCGCTAATTGGGCCATATCCCTCAAGTATTGTGTATCTAATTTCTTTCAAATGGAGTAGTCTAGGCCACCAGCAGCCATTTCGACTAACTCATGTTCAGGAACTATTGTGAAACATCTAGACTTTAAGAGTCTGAACCTATTCAGATAATCATCTATGGGTTCAGTAAACTTCCTCTTGACTCTGGCTAGTTCTTTCAGACTTATTTTAGATTGTCCCATGTAGAATTGTTCATGAAATAATCTCTCCAAAAGAGTCCAAGTATCTATGGATCCAGGAGGCAATATGGTGAACCATGTGAAAGCGTTCTTAGTTAGGGAACTTGGGAAATATTTAATCCTAAGGTTCTCATTATTTGTTATGTCTCCTGCTTCGGTCAGATACCTGGCTATGTGTTCGACTGTTGACTCATTGGTGTCTCCAGCGAACTTTGTAAATTTAGGGACCTTATATCCCCTTGGTAAATCAGTGTGCATCACATAATCTACTATGGGAGAGGAATAGTTTGGCCTTCTAATTCCTGCATTGAGACCGTTTTAAGCCATAATCCTTTCTATCATGGTGGTTAAATTATTTTCTGACAAGATGTTGTCATTTCGAATTCTATGAACGACTTCATCAGCATCTTGGTGTCGACCCACCATGACAACTCCTCTAGGTTGTTCTTCTCGAAACTCTGGGACTTCTAACCTTTCGACCCTTGCCCCTGGTTCTATAACTCCCCTTTGTGGTTCCTCTAGAATCACTGGGGCTTCTTGTCTTTGTGCCCTTGCCCCCAAGTTAACCCCCTTTCTGGCTGGTCTATAGGGTGGATCGTCAGCAATTTGTTCTATGATGGGTATGTTTGCTCGAACCAACGCCTGATTCTGCCTACGCCTTTCTGGCGGAGCGAAAAAATTTGCTATTCGACTCATGTTGTCCGCGTTTTCTCTGTTGGTTACATTTACATTTTGTACTATTGGGGCAAAGATTTCTTGCATAGTCTGCGTTAACACTCCTATCATATTATGGTTACTATCATCCATTAATTTTCTAAAAGCCATTTCATTTTCTGTGGTTAAGATAGGAAGTGTATTATGACCTACTGAACCTTGGGTATTTGTCATAAATTGGTTGGCCCCAGATCCGGACCCAAATTATGGTGACGAATTTGATGTGGAATTGTGCAAACCCGCCATAAAAGATGTTGGCATCCCATAAGAGGGATTTCTGAGTCTATTGCCATCGAAACCGGGTGGTCTAGTTGGTGGTGGGGTGGCGAAATGGGTTTGTGTCCTTGATGGCGGGACAAATCCCACAAGATAACCAGTGGTCCCTGTATTTCCTAGGGTCGAACTGTTGGTTGTCGTGCCACTTGCTCCATTTGTGGCCACACTACTGGTAGAAGATGCAACGGACTGTGCGTTCGTAGGGATCGCGTTAGACGTCCCCGTCGAAACAGACATATTGGTGCCTGTTCCATATGGGGCATTTTTGTTCCCCTTGTTGATTGTTTGGATTAGACATCCTACTACTACGTTTTCTTCTGGGTAAGGGTTGATTACTATTAATTGTTTTACCACTTCTAAGGTTCATATAACAGCGAAATTGATACTCAGAAAAGAACTTACACAGCGAGATTATATCCTAAAACTCTTTACTTTCGACTTTCTTAACAAAGGGTCCCACCGGGTGTGTCAATTTGTTCACAGTGATTTCTGATGAACAACCGCTAGTCTTCCAAACTACCGAATAAACTTAATTACTGTTATTCAATTTCTCTGGTAACTTGCAGGATCGACTAGATTGATCCTATGGTACATAGTTGTTTGGCTAAGTCTAATTGTAAAACTGGTATTCATATTTATGACTTCTAATTAAAGTGTTTCAAAGACATCTAATCCACTTCGATTACTATGCTAAATGATTCGAAGGATAATTTCTATATGGTATAAGGAATGTTCATTAGAGAAGTAAACAGACTTAAGATTGGGTAAATGGCGGGATTAAGTGAGTGAATATAAAAGTTGCTGAATGTTTAAAGGATTCGAACCTAAGAAAAGCGTTTAAATGTAGAAAGAAATAAATGACTCTGAATGTAGAAGCTCTAATGTAAAGGCATGAACGTAAAAATGTTTGAAGCACAAATGAAATGGAAATGAAAGACAAAACTGGAAAATATAAAGAGTTTTCATTGAATTGTAAATGTTGGTGTTATCATACGTACATCTTTCGAGCACTCGTTTCCCTATCCATGCGGTATTTTGAATGTTTACTGAATTTGTACAACAGATATGACACCCCGAAATCCTAACACTAAGACCTCCATTTATACTATTTCGACCATAACGGTCTTGCTATCAGAATCTGCCACGTTCGAAGCATGCAGAGCATTACTTCCCTCTAGCCTCCACGCGTCCTCGAACGCTCCAGCGCTTATGTATTTGAATTTCAAATATCCCGCTCACGTTTGAATTTCGAACGCCTTGGAACCTTCGTTTCGAATTCGTTTCAAAGGTTAATCTCGAAACAACCTTCACAAATATAATCTCATCATTATTTCGAACATTCTTTAGACTTACACTCCACAACTATCATTTGAAACCTTAAACTTTATTATTTCCATTCGAAAAAACAGTCTCTTCTATTCCAAACCATAAAACTTGTTTTATTCAAACAAAGCCCAATCATTTCATTTCGAATCACAATATCAAAATCTTCAGCCAACAGGTCTGCGGTTCCTCGAATCGTGGACTCTGTTGGCTGCCTCTTTTTCCTCGTAGTCCATGTATGCCTGGGATTTTTCGAGGAGGGCGTCGAAAGACCAGGGGGGGTCAATGCCGACTGCCTTTCTAAATTCAGTGCCCGAGAGAATTCCCCTCTCGAGCAGGTATCTTTTCATGTGATCGACGCATGGGACCTGAATGGCCTCACGGTTGAATCAATCAACGTACTCCCTAAGGGTCCCGTCGCTTCTCTGGATGATTACCTCGAGGGCGGCCTCAGTCTTCGGATATCGACGAGACGCAGTGAAGATGCTGATGAATTGATTTTTGAGGCTCTTCCACGAGATGATCGACTCGAGGGAGAGGTTCTTATACCAATCCATGGTTGTTTTCCTCAGCGTCGTGGGGAACAGCCTGCATTTAATTGGAGCTCCGACGTTGTGGTAGTGGAGCATCGCTTCAAACCTGTCGATGTGGTCGACAGGATCAACAATGCCGTCGTACTCCTTCAGGGGGAGGCTTCTCCGTTCCTTTAGAAATATGAGCCTCCATGATAGCTTGGGATAGTGGACCGCGGGGATCGTCTTCGTCACTTCTGTCTGGAGAACGAGAGGGGGACCGGTTGTAGCGGCGGTCGTTGTGTCGGCCTTGGCCACGGGGAGGGTCCCTTGGCTGAGACTACTTTTCTTCATTCCCATCATTTCTTTTACGTTCAGGGGATCGTCGATGCTTACGCGTGGGGTGTGACCACGCTTCCTCGCAGCGTCGGGCTGACTCCTCTCCAATGCAGGGTCTCGCCCAGTTTGGCAGGGAGAAGGGCTTCGAGAGTTGTCTCGTCTCTGTCTCCGCGGGGGAGGTCCTCGTTCCTTCGGGGAGGAGTTCGAGAGTTAGGTCTCCCATGCCTTCTAGGGGTCCGACGAGTCTGCTCGAGCATCATCAATCGCTCACCCTGTGAGAAGATTATGTAATTGGTCTGATTGATTGCCACGAATAGAGCTCTAGTCGTGGCGTCAGCACCTGCAGAAACGGGGATCTCCTGATATGTATTGGGTTCATAATTTTGTGGAGGATGGTAGTCGTCGCCGCGCAGTTGCGAACGGGTGGATGAAGAGGCAGTCAGTCCGTCTCTGTAGTCTTGCTCGAGACCAACCACGTCGTTGGTTTTACCCGCGTTGTTGTTGCCAACATTGTTGTTGAGGTCGACGAAATGGATGTTTTGGTTATCATCGACAGCTTGGTCGGCCATGACAATCGTAAAGTTGATGAAGACAGACAGCGCCACTGATCGTACTTGATCAGAAGGGATTGTCAATGCCCACGAGCTTCAAGTCGAGCAGTGGTTGAATGTGAAGTGATGGGGGTACCCACAAGACACTCTGCTGTCAAAGTAAGATTCAGAGTAAGTGCAAATAAGTATGAAAGTATGAGTGAATGAATACCTGACCCTCTCAAGTGAAAGGGTATTTATAGCCCCCAGCGTTGGATCAAGGTCTTCAGTGATGGGCCACGATGAGGCCCAACAACAAAGACTGTCAGGGTTTACGGATGTATGGAGTCCAACACGTGGCCTCCTCCCTGGTCAACTGCCCCGAGAAAGTCGGAAAGTTGAACCTGTTATTCTCAGAGGACATGATGATGATGATATAGGCACATGGGTTATGTTCTCCTAGTGGACACGTAGAAAAATGCCCAACGGTCCTCAATTTAGACTACACGCTTTTAAACCTTTATAAAGGCGTTGGATTGGACCTTCCCAACGGCAGGACAAGTACCAGCCCACTCCAGAACAATTACATTAAAGGAGAGTTTAATGAACACGCTCAAACATAAGAAATGGGATATTGATGGCCATTAACATGTCTTAATCACACGGTTTTACTAAGACTTATATAATACCATATATACCATTAGTAAAGGATCGTGAGGGGGAACTCACAAGTCATACAACTAAGGCTTTACTGATCCTATTATCAGTAAAGTTACACTAGTGTGCTTTCCAAGTGCAAATACAAAACTTTATCTCCTTTAAAATGTTGAAAAGGGAAAGAAGAAAAATTGTGATGAAAATTGTAATGAAACGGTAAAATGAAGATATGAAGATGTAATAACTCAAAATGTCTACTCGCTTGGAAATGATTTTGAATATCACGGACTTTAATATTACAATCAACCTGCACCATTGTAGTTAGAAATATAACGCACTAAAACTAACGGGCAAAATTCCAGATGATGGTGGTCAGGAACATTCCATAAGAATTACATTTCTTTAACCTGAAGGTGGTCGCATTCCATGGTGATTGGGAGGTGGTGGTGGCGGCATTGAGGATTGAGGATATCCCATAGGATGTCCACCCTGTTGCTGAGGTGGTGGTGGTGGTCTCCAAACAGATTGCTGCTGGCCTGCCATTACTGATGGTGGTGGAAGTGGCCTTGGAGGTCCCTGAATACCTTGTGGAGGTGGCGGTGGCATCTGCATTGAGTGAGGTGGTCTAAAATGCTGCATTGGAGGAGGAGGCATTCCATGTTGCATCATCGGTTGACCTTGCTGCTGCTGATGCCATACTTGTTGTCCAGGTGGTGGCATCTGCATAGGCTGAAAGGCTGCGGCTTGAGGAGGTGGGGGGTGGATGACAGGAATAGGAGGTGGGGCAACGCCATTAGCGAAGGGGCGGGGTGGCACTGGAGCAGGAATGGTACCATTAGCTTGAGGAGCATTGGGAAGTGTTGGTGGCCCGCTGGCAAATAAAGTATGAGGCCGGCTCTTTTGTGCAGTTGGATTACTTGCAGCCAAAACTCTTTCTGCATCATACAAGAAATATGAGAAGATAGCCAAGATAGTAGTGAAAACAAAAGACTTGAACTGATCCCAAAAATAGAGTTGCAAGAAACGGGCTCACCTGCGGGAGTACCGTGCCTTTCACCTTTAGTGTCTTTCTTATAAGCGTATGACACTGTAATCTGACGATTGCAAAGATACTGTCCATTCATTGCCTATCAAAAAGATAAACAATTCATTATAATTTGAATTGAAGACAAGAAATATATGAAAGTTGACATTGATCAAATGAAGCCACCAAATCATGAAACCCTCGTAATGAAGTCAAATGTAAAACTTTATGGGTGTGGAAATAATTTATAACTTTTCACTATGGATATTTCTTATTTGATTTATCTCAAGTTACAGCCCAAATGAGTTAATGATTGGATACAAGGTTGTAACCCATGTATCCATATATTTGTTTGTTATCAAGTTTTATACACACCTGCGAGCCAGCTTCAATTTATAATCCATGCATGCTGTATAACAATGAGTATAACAAAAGAACGAAAAGGTTGACCTTACAACATTTCTACATATGACTTAAGAACCAAGCCATACCTCAATAGCTGAATCAGACGCCTCAAATGAATCATAGCTTATGAAGCCAAAGCCTCGGGAATTCCCTGTGTCAGGATCTCTCATGATCTGCAGAAAAATGTCTAGAACGTCATATCATACACATAATTTTGAAGAGTGGTGTTAAACCCTCAATGGGATAACTGAACAGTAAGAGCATAAACACAATTAAAATTGAAAGTAGAACCATCCAACATAAAATATCCCATCCATCAGAAAAAGCACTAAGCCAAAACTCATTTGTTGACCTATCTCAGGTGTTTAATGGGCAAGATGATTATAGAGGTAATATATCTGAGGATATATTTATTTTGTGATACTACAAATAATCAGAGCATATAATGCCTAAAAATGTGCAAAAATACTCAAAGAGCAGTCATCCGCCTGATACTAGACTAGACCTTTTAAGCAAACAAAATGTAGAGAGAATCTAAGCAGTCAGAAACTTTTAAAGCAATTAGCTATAAATATGGCAACTTGCCTACTGTAATCTATTTATTCTATCCTGATTGTTAGCTACATTGGGTTAGGAGTAATTTCCCCAATGAAGAAGGGAATTTTGACCTTTGCTTATGGCAGATAAGGACCTGATTGATGAAGTGGAAAATTTTAATATTTATGAAAACTACTTGAAATTTCGCAAATTTGGGAAGACTGTATTATAAATATTTAATAATATTATTTGTAAGCACGCTATTTATACTTAATTATAGTAGTATATCATAAGTTCATAACTGGTACCAATTAATCAAATTTCAATGTTTAATGAGGAAATAAAGGTTGTTGATGTCACACCTTAAGGAGAAAACTGCCAACAAGGCAATGGAAATTAGTTTCCAAGTTGACTATTTCGAACCAATTCAGATGTTTGGGAGTTAAAAATTGTTAACTCCTAAGAAGAAAGAGCTAAGCTAAAATTACATTTCCAGTTTGATATATGAATGAGGTATCGTCTTACTGTTGGAAAAACAAATATTAGTGGTGAGTGGTCAAATGAATTTAAATTACGTAATGGATCTTGACGTAAGATGGCATTCTTAATAGAAAATTTTCTAAACTACAAGAAAGATTAGTAAGGGTTGCAAGGGCAACAGCCAACATTAACTACTCTTCCCCACAGCAAACATTAATTTTATACAAACATGTACACATTTATTGGTAGCCTTAAAAATTGTGGTTTGCCAACTTCAATGTGCTCTCATGAGTGTTGGCATATGAGAATGAACAAGAAAAGAAATGATTCCCTTTTCAAGAAGACAAGATGTAGGTATCCTTAAACCCATAACTGAGATATTTGTAGCAACTGGATTTTATTAATAAGGGATAATAACAAACTAACAAAAAGCGCGAGGGAGGCTAGCACCATAAGCATCCTCCCTAAGAACTACCGGCAGTTTAGATGGGCATGGATAATAATAATAATAATATCTCCGTCTCATAAAAAGTGTCTCATTTGCACTTTTTCTCTGTCTCAAAATAATTGTCTCTTTACAATACCAATGCACCATTTATTAGTATTTTTCCACTACTATACCCCTATTATTAACTTTCACTTTATTCAACTATTCTATTAACTATAATTAATAAAGATATTCTAGTAAATGATATTAATTTTATCATTAAAATCAACACATCTAATAATTTTCTTAAGAACCGTGCATTGGTCAAATTGGACACTTTATGAGACGGAGGGAGTAATATATAATTCCAATCATAAGCCCCCCTGTGCCCTAAGTTAACAGTTGTTGGTCTTTGTGAACGGGAACAGTTGAATATTTTGTCTTATGGTGGTGGCTAAATCTCACTCCTTTGGTTTTGGCATGGCCTCACCATATTGATTGTGTGAGCGCGCGCACCCAAACAGTTAATGAATGAAGCTGTTATCACCTCAATCTGACATCAAGTTTATTGTCTTGTCCAAGAGGTGTCAGCTCAGTGGTAAGAGCTTAACGTTGCAACCTCAAGGGAAATGATTCAAATCCCACCAGGGAGAATTTGTTAAAATGACCATTAGTGCTGATGTTATTAATGATAACTTACCCCTCCCCAATTATTTTGAGAAGTTTATTGCTCTGATGTATATTGTTTATATGATGTGTCAAGAACTGGTTAGATATTGATGTTACTTGAGGGGAATATGCATGTGCAGACAAGTGTCTTGACCTAGAATAGTTCATATATATGGTTTGTGAAATTTTAACTAGAACAGTGTTTAGAAGAGGATTTACTCTCTGAAAGCAGGACAGAACTGATGTATTGAATCCAAAGAAATATATTTGAGTTTCTACACTTACTTCTCTTATTGAAGCCGAGATCAGGGTAATAACAGATCGAGTTTTTGAATCATTTTAAATTGAGATTCCTATAAGATCGGATTTCCTATAGCAAAAAATCTATGATATAAAGCTATACATTGACAGAAAATCAACAATAAACCCAGTTCCCAAACCTGCCCAGTGACTTAATGGAGCATATCAAAATTGATAGGAGTTTTATCAAACATGAAATTGATTTTCAGGTGTATAAGAACATCTACATTCCAAAAGGAAATCAGAAGGTGGAAAACCTTATCAAGACCTGGCTTTGGATTCTTGGAAGGGCAAGCCAGGAATGATTAATATTGACTACCAGTTTGAGGGAAACTATTGGAGAGAATTCAGTGATAAGAATAAGCATGAAATGTGATTAGCTTGGTAAACATTGTAATTTGATTTTATTGTACTTTCCGAATTGTAATATAGTTTCCTGATAGCTTTTTTTTCCCCCTCCTAAGGGTAATTTTAGTCAGCTTATATCATGTAAATTCTGTGTTCTCAGAAAACCAACAAGATTTTCTTGCCAAAGTCGCTTCATTCACAAGATTGATGCCCACAGTGCGAAAAAAGAATTTGGCAATGTATGAAAAGCATTAGCCACGGCAGCTAGCAGAATATACTTTTTACTTAAATGACACAACGGTTACACTATCAGGGGTGATGAAATAAATTAGAAAAGTAAAACCTTTGGATTAGTAACAATAACTCCAAATGCACTGAAAGTATCATACAAGAGCTTCTCATCTACATCCTGCAACAGAATCATTAAAAGTCTTGTTAGATCTCAAAGCCTGGCACATTTGAAGTTATTTAAAATTAAAAGAAAAACTTGCATATTTGGTGACTTACAGGATCCAGATTTCCAATGAAAAGATTTGCCCCGACATCCAAGCTCTTTTTATCTTGGGATGCCTGAAACCAACAAATAGTAAATCAGTACTCTATAATCAAGTAGCATAGACATTCAAATACGTAGTTCACATAATAACAAGGGCAACAATATAAGATAGGTATACGGCAGAACTTGAACAGGGTAGAACAAAGTTCACACAAACATATCGTAAGTATGAAAATGCCCCTACGTTAGCCGATTTCATCATACTTGAATACCCCAACACAAACAAATAAGGACAATGCGAGGTATAATAAGGTTATAATTTATATAAATATACCTTATTTACACGAATTGGTTTTCCATAAAGTTTAATCATGTTAAGTACCTTAATAGCCTGAAACAGAAGAATCAGTGAGCAAAAACAAGCAATTAGATTTATAAAAGGGGCATATCAATATCAATATCAATAATAAACAACAATACATACATAATCAGCATCTTCTTCACTCCGAAATTCAACAAATCCATAACCTTGATGCTGGTTAGTAACTCTATCTTTCGGAACATACACATTAACTGAATCAAATGAAACAAAAAAAGAGAAAACAAGTTAAATTAAATTCATGTGTATTGATTGAGTTACCCTAAAATGAAACAGTAATAGAATAGATAGTACCTACGGGACCAGCTTGAACAAAAAGCTCCCATAGTAATTCCTCTGATATCTGCAAAGAAGAAAAAGAGTATTGAATTGAAGTGAAGTGGGAATGGAATGAAAATTTGGTTGGAAAGAGGAGTGGAGATGAACCTGAGGGTCGAGATTGCCTACGTAGGCAGTAGCGTCTTGGTTTCTCTCGGCGGAGTGTTGGCCGAGTAGATTTGCTCCGACGCCGGGAGCTATACGGGTCGTCATTCTTCGCCGGAAGTGGAGAGCAAAGAGAACGACGGTGGAGGAGGGGGTTAGAGTAGGGTTTGGTTTACTGCTTTGAATTTAGCCTGTGCTCTGTGGAAGGGAGGTGCGAGCCTGCTGACATGTCAAAGGAGCAGTAACTTTTTTTTTGTGTTCTTTTTTTGGTTGAATTAAATAATAAAATGGAATAAATTAACTATTGAAATTTTTCTAGACATGCGAAATTTGGGTAAGGATACTCAATTAATTTTAAAATAAACAAAGATGTTCATTACGTAATTTTGAAGGTAGAAAATATTTATTATAACTTAATTTGCAAAAGTTTACACATTAAAATTTATTTATTATTTAACTTTTTTGTTTGTTAAAATTTTTGCGAATTCTCAATTGTTAATTATTTGTAGTGGATATGAAGAGAATGACTGTTTGAAAGCAAAGGTTCTCTATCGTGAGGGGTTGACAGTATTATTTATAAGCTCAATGACACTACTTACGTCAAGGTATTTTATAATACTTTATGTTTAAGATTTATGGTTTTAGGGTTTATATGTTTTGTTGATTGGAATTTTTTATTGTGTTGATTATTTGTGTTTTTCTCAACTGTGTTATTTTAGGTGGAATATGATTAACTTGATTACATTGCAAGGATTATCGAGTTCTTTGAAATCCAAGAGAAAGATCTATATTTTATGGCTTAATGGTTTTACAAAGATACTGTAAGATTGATTTTTTTAAATTGTTTTTTTGTGTGATTGTTTACAATTTTTAGAAGTTTGATTTTGGAGTTTTGGAGATTTGATTTTGGAGATTTCACATCAACATTATTAGTGTGTTTGAACTTTTCAATTTTACAATAGTTTCTGCATTCTGAAATCCTGGCACTTTAAAACATGTTAATATTGATGTCCCAACAGCATAACATAATATCAAGGCAGATGTTACGATATATGTTAACAGACAAAAATAATATATCAAATTGTAAATTATGCAGAAATAAATTATAGAATAATAAAGAACCCGGATAATTGTTAATCCAGTTTGGTGCAACATCACATACTCTAAGAGAATCATAGCCATGAAAGGAAATCCACTATGATAGTATTAGTTCAAATCTAAATCAACCCTAATTTACAACTTATCGTCTAATCACTACCTTGTGCAACTTCTATCTAGAACCCTCTAGATATGAGATCCCCCTCACAGTTTCCATAATCACCTCAGTGATAAAAAACAGTCACATACCCATGACAAAACCAAACACAGAAGATTACACTTCCAATAAACAATATTCAACTATTTTGCTTAAAAGCTCATGAGTGATAACAATGCTTAGTTTTGCTTAAAAGCTTTTAACTAAGAACAATAACTTGATACACAATCAACTCATTGCTTAAAAGTTTATGAGTGATTGTCAAATAACAATAAACAAACAGTCTACCTCAATGTATCAAAAGATACATGGGTGACCAACAAAAACACAAGAGACTCTTAAAACCTAAAACTCTAAATTTCCCATAATTTTACAAAATTGTGAAAGCCAAGTTACATTAGGTTTAAGTTTCTCTTTATATACTCCTCAGCAGTCCATGGGTTTTAAAATCTTCACCCAAATATTTCTTGATCCACAAGCTGAGGGCTGCACCAATTATACATAAAAATCTCCTTAAATCTTAGAATAAATCATTAAGTTTCCTAAATTATCTTAACGTCCAATTTTAGAAACTTATATACAGTTGGAGATAAAATCAGTTGTTCCAGATTAAATCTTCTTGACCTTTGCAAATAATTGAGATATATCCAAAAGAAATCTCACAGAATCAAATCAAATATGTCAAGAATAATAACAGTCTGTACTGATATTCTGGTATTCCATGTCAGAATATTTGTCAAAAATACTAAAAGTAGACTATGTTGTACTAGTTGGTCAAGATGTCATGACATATTACTCAACATCTTATATTAACTATGTTTTAGCAAAATTTATGTCAATTATAAAACTATGGATCTAACAATCTCCCCATTTGGCTAATTTTGGCTAAAACAACCTTAACATAATCTATTATAGAGAGAGGAATAAAACCACATTCATAAAACACAGGCTACATGATAAACATGTAAACTTTATACAAACTACAAACATAAAATATATATCAGAGATACATTGCTGTTACAAGAATATCTTTAAAAACTCCAAGAGTCAGATGTCAAGACATGTGATCTGACATCACACCACACAACTCTAAGCCACATAAGAGCAATCCCTACATAGCACGAAGTTCAACAAATTCAGACAAAACCAATACTCTTCCTGTCACACATAATCAGTCCTCCCCCTTAAGGGGAAAACCCAAATCCCCAGAAAATCAAATCTGAACTTCGAGGAGAAAACCCAAATCATAAGAAAATCAAACTTGAACTATCCAAGTTCATACATTAGAAGCACATGCAGCAGAAAGCCTCATAAATAACTCATAGCACCAGAGCAATAAACTACCAGAGAGTAACCAGTGTTCTTCATAAACACATCAGGTAGGATGTCAGAACATGTGGTTTGACATTATTATACACAGACAATCATCAACAGTAGTAGCAGCAGAAGTACCAAAAAGCATGATAGATTATCATGTTCCCCCTAAATAGTTGTATACAACAAGCAACCACAATAAATTATTCTTCCCTTAGTAGTAGTACAATCCTATCAACATGTCAAGACATGTGTCATGACATCAGGACAAATTGAAACACTAACACTTTACTCCCCCTTTTTAGCCAAAAATTGAAGAAAAAAATAGAGTAAATGTAAAAACAAATTAGAAGCACACATATCGCACACAAGCAATAACACGGATGGAAATATAAACAAATATCAGTTGGTTTTCAGGTATTCTTCTACCTCTTTACCCCTGTCAAAAATCCTCTTGCACTCCTTGATTTTGTCACATACTTTAGGAGTGTAAACGTTGAATTCCTATACCAGCACCTCAGAACTTGTCTTCTTCAAACTAATTTCCTTTCTTTGCAAGGACCTTTTGTTCCACTTTTTGCAGGTCTAACACTAATGTTTTTCTTATGAATATCATGCACCACAAAATAGAGGAAAGATAAAGTATTTGTTGCCTTCCTCCACACATGTAATTGCTATAACTTCTCAAAAGTGAAAAATTTCTAACTCACTCCTCAATTTCTCAAATTGATTTGCATCTAAAGCCTTAGTAATGGATAAAGAATCATAGTTTAGCTTCTTGTTGAACCAAGAGATGAGATTATTCCCCAAGAATAACCATCATTCAGACGCATTTTTCTATCATTGGCATCACTTATCCAATCTTCATCACAATACCCTACAGACTTAATGTTGGAATCATTGTCTTCCTCATGTTTTGGATCATCACACTGCTGAGATGATGTTCCAACATCCTTTTTGACATCAGTAAATTGTTGAATGGTAGAGTCATTAACCACAACATTTAGATATTTCATTATGTCTTTGATTCTAGAATTAAAATTTATATAACCTTTATCCATAAATATCCCATTCGTTCTCTTAGGATCCATCTTCCACCTTTATTCTCTTTGAATACATTTCTAAATATCTTTAAATACTTCAATGACATTTGATTTTTATTTGATAAAATTCATCCAAGCACATTTTTAAAAATCATGAACAACCACACAGACATATCTCTTTCTACTAGAACTGTCAATCTACATAGGTTCCATTAAATCCATATGAAGAATTTCTAACCCCTTGGAAGTAATCTCATGTTGCAACTTTGGATGTGACATCTTGATTTGCTTCCCAATTTGACACTCCCCACAGACTCTTCCTTCCTAAATTTTGAGCTTAGGAATGCCTATGATAGCTTCTTTAGACACAATCTTCTTCGTACCTTTCAGATGCAAATGACCAAGTTTTTGATGCCACAACTTGACTTCATATTCCTTGGATAACATACATATGGAGAAATTATAAGTTTCTTGTGGTATCCACAAATAACAATTGTCTTTAGTCCTAACTCCCCTCATCAGCATATCATTCTTCTCATTTGTAACCAAACATTGAGACTTGTTGAAATTCATATTTAGACCTTGAATACATAACTGATTGATACTGATCATATTGGCAATCAGTTCTTTCACAAGAAGCACGTTATCTAGACTAGGAAGTCCAGTACAATTTAACCTTTATATCCCTTTAATTTCACCTTTAGCTTCATCACTAAAAGTGACAAAACTAGTGGAATAAGACAAAAAAAATGATATTGAGTATATGATGATAACAAATTGTAGAGAGGGATTGTGATTCTTATTGAAAATTTAGAAAATATTTTAACAATCAGTTTGAATAATGACTGCTTTTTTTAACATCTAATTTGAATAATAATTGAATTTTTCATGTCTAGTTTGAATAATGACTAACTTGAAAACATTGAGCATGAATATTTACTAGTCATATATTAAAAATTAAAATAATTATGAGAATATAAAAACCATCCAACATACATAATCATCATAGTTAAGTTCACATTTTCTCTTATCACGTCGCACAATTCACAAGTTTGTAGTTGTCTGATTTATATTACATGTGTCCTTTGTGACTATTTGCAAATCATTAATCCTTAACCTTTTCATATCACTCTCGATCTTCAACATCTCAACACAAACTGTTTTCTTTTCTATCTAGACATTTTCACCTTTGGTTCGTTAATAATCACATGTGAACTCTAACACTAGTTCATTTTTTAAAGTTGTATCGAGATAGATATTTCACAAGATTTTATTTCTCCTTTCTTTTGCCACCTTTGGACCAATTAGATGACGTAAAAAAGTAAGTGATCGTCGATTTTATTTGACACTAATTGGTGTCGGTGAGTTAGAAGATGAAAAATATGTTACAAAAGTTGAATTATTCGTTCTTTTCGTGGAAGGTTCCGTGAAACCTACAATCATTTGGTGTCATCTTTCAATAATCTTTATGCATTCTAAAATATGAGTGTTTTACT